GATGTATAATGTTGCAGATCTTACTCGAAGTGACTGTTTGTCGAACCCTGAGCTATTCGTAATTATAGATCTGACTCAAAGTGACTTTTTGGTGCCATGGATTCTTTTCAATTACAGATGCGGATGAAAATGGTTGCTTGTCCTACCGTGCTTTCTTAAAATTATAGATCAGACTCGAAATGAATGTTTTGTTAGCCCGGTTTATTTTCGTTATAGATCTGGGTCAACGTGGCTGTTTGTCGTACCTTGGGGTTTTAGGAATCTACTGAACTGGATCAGAACAGAGTATGGAAATCCGCAGGTGATTGTAACGGAAAATGGCGTGACAGACAACAATGGAACTTTGCGGGACCAGCATCGCGTGGATTACTATCAAGCCTATATCACAGAAATGTTGAAAGGTAACTTGAACTTTTTTGGTTTATTGATGAATAAAAAATGTTCGTTCTTTACAAATATATAAAATGAGCTCCCAGACACATAATACATTGTCTATTTACGTCAACAGGATAGTTTTCTTTCATTCTACAATTGTTTTCTTTGGGAACTTTTGTACTTTCGAATAGACTTAATGTTTCGACTGTGGACAGGATTTAGCAAACTATTAATAACGCTTTTGCAATTGTGGTATGTATTAGACCAATTGTTTTGGCCACTCATTTTTTAAAGATTTATTTTTGACTACGCTCTGTTTAAAATAACTTTTTTTTGTCCATTATTGAAACAACAAGAAACAATTTACGATCTGAACTGTTGTGTACCTCTGCTATCCACTGCCATTTTAAGTCATTTAAAACAGTATTTGTAACTGAGTAGATTAATAATTTCAATTTGAAAAATAGATTAGAATTAAATATTGTTGTATGGGTGAAACCAGGGGGGGGAATTCATTAAATAAAGGAAGAAAGGCCAGATATCCAACAAATGTATTTTTCACAAAGGGGAGAACGAAAACATAAATCTACAACATCGTGATCGTTTTCTGATAACAGTCAAGATCTTCGGTGACCAAATATGAACAGATATGAATTTAGGTAGTAGGTATCGTTCATGCACATGTTTAAAAAGTATGTGGCAGAAATGACCTTTCCAATAATGGATTGTAGAAACGTCTTATCTAAGTAATATATAGTAGATCAAACGAACATCCCCACCCATCCGTCCACATCCAGTGCAAATATGATTTCTTCTGGTCTCAACACTGGAAAATCCTCCAAGGAGGGCATTAAATCTCACAACTACATTGAACAAGGTCACACGTGACCATGATGAACCCGTTTGTTTCAAATTCAGTACTGCTATTCCGGGTCAGATGTAACAACTCGGATCCCTGTAGATCGTTTCTCGTGCACGTCCAACAGAAGAATATATGTAATCACAGACGCCAAATATCCAAATATAGAGACATAATATACCCAAAAGTTTGATAACTCAATACAGTCACATAAAATATAAAGATTCACATAATATGACTTGTATAGTATGAAGACATGCAACACAGATTTGAATGACTATTAAAATAAAAATGTCACTCGTTAAGCGATCACAACCATCTCTAGACCGCGATATGCAATGTTAAATTTGATACAGTGACAATCGAAAACAATCATAAAATAATCATCAAAATGAAGTTGCTTTCTAATACAAAAGTATTGTCGGCACTTGAATATGACATACATAGCAAGGTCAATTGTTATTAAAAAATGGTTTTTATTTCGAATGGATGGGTTGTAAGCATAATAATGTAAGCAAGTATGAATATATTTGTATCATACCCAATTCATATATATATATATATATATATATGTGTGTGTGTGTGTGTGTGTGTGTGAGTGTGAGAGTTTGTGTGTGTGTGTGTGTGTGTGTGTGTGTGTGTGTGTGTGTGTGCAGCATATAGCTTTGCGAACATCTTTTTGTCCAGTAGTGTATTATTTCCTTAGGGTGACATTTGCTCTACTTTCAAGTAATATGTTAGCTTTATTACATATATATCCATTGTTCTGTCATAGATCACAAAATAAAACTTTTTTCCAAAATGATCAAGTGGGCGCTACAACATTGTAAAATTATCTGCGCCAAAGAGGAAAACTTCGGGTTATGTGATAAAGAGGGTAGTGGAAATAAAGTCTCATAAACCAAAATGTGTTAAACGTATTCATTTGTTTTGACTGGTAAGCTGTTCTTATTTTATATTATATCGAAGTCAAGTGCAGGGAAGGGAAGGTGAACATTCACCTTACCAGCCTACACTAGGCTCACGGCGTATATTTTCCTGCGATCGTTCAGCTATCTAAATGCTAACGATTGTTGTTGAGAGATGTTAATAGTGGTGGTTCTTGTGGTGGTGGTGGTGGTGGTTCTTGTGGTGGTGGTGGTAGTGCTGATGTTAAAACTCATGCCTTTTACATAGAGCCTGCTGTCATGTATAGAAAATAGCTGATTTGATCTCAAAATTTGTTTAAATATCTCTACATGATAGTGTTGTAAAAACAGATCCTTAATTGCTAATTGCCTACCGGGTTCGCTCCAAAACCTGTTATATTTTAAAATCCTGGTTATAACCACTCAGCTACCACTTATTCAATGTAATATTCAAATAAATCCACGAACCCGGTCTAATAAAAAGAAAAATCCATCCATACGTGCACTCAAGACATTACAGATAAAATCCTCAATAGCGTCATTTGCTCCTGCAATCAATATCAGATTGATAGCTATCAACTTATTGAAATACAGCTAAATATACACTTGGATCAAAATCCATTAGTAATGCCCTATAGGTCACAGCTCCATTATTTTAATTTCCGACCGACTTCGTACAGTATGGAGTCATTATGTTCAAAATATAGTTTCATCACAGCATATATTAATAACAAAATATTTCAGCATGTTCACAACAGCTGACATTTTGGAAAATTATATCTGCACCAATTTTGCCCAACACCAACAACATCTTTCAGTAATTGCTGTAGTTAAAACCTGGAATCAGCATAACCATCCAATTCTTGGCGATCATACTGATATCATTTTTGACATAAAGTACCTTTGCGACAACACTATGCAGATATCACTATCTGTATGGGATAAGAGGCGAAAACAAGTTTTTCAAAGTGGATGTAAGAAGTTTTTAATGACAAGCCAATCCCTAAATACTAAGAATTTACAACCCTATTGTTGACATGGCCATTTTTATGGAGAAGTAGAGCTAAGAAAACTTTGAAACAGGCCTATGTGGAGGTCACATTGGATGTATGAGGGGTACTAATTTAATTGGGGCCACCAAGATCTCGGTATCAGACTGTGTCCAGTTTCATTTCTGTCCTCCAAGTAGTTGAAGAGAAATATCGATAACAAATATTTGGAATGGAAGACAGACAACTGACGCAAGACTATCGTACCAGTTCTTCTCGATTTCGACCAGTAGGTCCAAAAATGAAAACTCTGTCATGAATTGAACTATGTTGCAGACGATGTGTGCATTTTCTACCTGTTGAATATTTCCTTATGCAGAAAACTGTTTTCTTAATTTTTATATTAACAGCGATAAATGAGGATAAATGCAACGTGACGGGTTACACAGCCTGGTCGTTGATGGACAACTTTGAGTGGTCAAATGGCTACCATGAAAAATTTGGCATACACTACATCAACTTCAGCGATCCGGAACTGAAACGCGTACCCAAAGATTCTGCAGTTTTCTTCCAGAAGCTCATAGCCGACAATGGTTTCCCAGATCCCAGACAAAACAATGCAGCTGTGTGTTCGCAGAAGTTATTCATATCACTGGTGTTGATATTTCCAGTTTATATCCTTAGATAGGTTAAGAATTCAAGACAAAGTTAAGAGCGTTCAGTTACAAAATAAACTCTCAGTAGAAACATCGTCTATAAAATTAATGATCGATGAATTAAAATATCATTATGTTGTAAAATATCGTAGCATGAAATATATTTATAGATAGTTTCCAATATCTAAATATGAATATCCGTGTTTGCTTGTGAAAGGTCCTTTCAAGGAAAATATAAATAAAATGCTAAAAACGCATTTGTATACGCTTCTGAAAATCTATTCTTCATAAAAAAAATTCCTATATTCATTGATTTGCAAATGATACCACCATCCATAAAATGAATATTGGTCTACTTTATTTAATGACGACCGTTTCCGTTAATGTCGGCACACCTTCCCTCCAAACTTCCTCTACCCCCAACCTTCCCACCACCACCCCAACGAACAAAACCCAGACGTATATGTACGAATATGCAATATTTATCTGTTTAAGTGATTCTCGCCTCCTCCTCCCCCATCTGACAAGGCCACTGATATTCTTATACTGATATTGTATTCTTAATACATCTCATTGTCATGTGATCGGTCTTATTGTTGTAAGCACATGTAATACGAAGACTAATTCACAATGGGATCGAATTACATCTGATGTTGTGTTGTTTATCAAGTGGATATTTTGTTATAATAACCTATATAGCGATAATACATTAGGTTTTGTAAGAAAAGCACGCAGGTCCTTATTCTATTTTATAGAATATTGCATTGTATAGTAAACAGTTAACATGTAGAAGAAACCATATCTCAATATATAAAGCATAGTTATCAAGTACTATAATTCACTATAATTCAGCTGCCAAGCAAGGCAGCTGTTAGTATAATTTGTTTTGGTTTTTGGTATGACTCGACCGGGGATCGAACCCACGACCTCCCACATTACAGATTACAGTACAAATTAGTAGAGAATGGTAATCTGATTATGAGTGTGATGTGATTTGGATTGTTAACGTAGCTTGAACATTTTTTTTCAGTCATATTACTACGATGTATGCAGTGTGGCAGTTTATGTCTAGCACTGGGGCATTATGACACAGACATGTAGCATGATCTCGCAACCAGTCACATTATCCTGATACCAGGCCTACTAGTCCTAGCACTAACTTCTGAGCGCCAAGCAAGGCATCTGTTAGTATAATTTGTATCGGTTTTTGGTATGACTCGACCGGGGATCGAACCCACGACCTCCCGCATTCGAGGCGGACGCTCCAATCACTATACCACCGGAGCGGGTAGTCTGATTATAAAGAAATGGCTATTCGAATTGTTGTGTGATTTGTGTGAATTAGAGTTTTAACGTAGCTTAAATTTTTTTTTTAGTCATATCGCTACGATATCTGCAGTGTGACAGTTTATAGTGATCTAGCATTGTGGCATCATGCCGCAGACATCTGATATGATGCTCCACCTAGCCACATTATCCTGACACCAGGCCAGCAAGTTCTAATACTAACCTCTTAATGCTAAGCGCCAAGCGATGCAGCTGTTAGTACCATTTTTTAAAGTCTTTGGTCTGACTCGGCCGGGGTTCTAACCCACGACCTCCCGCATCCGAGGCAGACGCTGTAACCACTAGGCGACCGGAGCGGTTCTATTCCATTTGGTAATAGTGAATTCATATTTCCTTTAATAAAGTATCCTCTATCACTTCTCCTGAGTTTGTGAATGAATACAATACAATAATAAAAATCTCAACACCTTATTTTCGACATTCTTTGATTCATTGGAGAGTGGTGTATGTATTCGATGAAATAAAAATGTCATAAAATCTTATAAATAATCCACTTAGTTGCAAATAGAAGTAGATTTTGTTCAAAACTTTAAGAATTTGAACATAAGCTGGTTTTCTTTCTGAACATACTATTTACAAACAAAATACATTTTTGTAAGTCACGAAAACTTGAACACTCTAGCATAAAATATATGGTGGCCTGTAATAGCCATAAACAGACATTTTATAAGCAGTACAATAACACAATGGCGCATGTCTGTTAGTTCGAAGAATAAAGAGAATAGTATTAGTGACAAACATTATGATGATCTCCAAGCCGATCAGTTAGAAAGATTTTAATATTCTCTATTCATATAATGACGATACAAATTTTATCGCCGAAGTGGCGATATAATTTTTGATCTTAACTAGTAGCAAACCAATTGCCGATATTGGACCAATATGTGCCTTTTTGCATTCTAAAATTTCGCTTTGGGAACCTAAACATTCCAAATCATGGTCTTAAAATTCAATACACCTTCTTTTTCAAAATCTCCTATAAAGATGCCATTTTCCTTCGGAAAACCTCTCGTTTGAATACCACACATTAATGAACCGCTCATTTTTCTAATTACCATCTCCCTAACCATGAATTGTTCCTTCGGAACATCACTACCTCTGATAAAATATTATACCACACAGATTATCAACACAATCAGCAAGATATGAAATGTGTGGCACAGTATAAATAATGACAAGAAAGAAATATTTGAAAGACAAAACTGATTGACATGGAAAGACGTCATTAATTAATAATCAACAAACATTAACAAATACTAAACATTAAGCAAGAAATATTTGTGTGGAAAATGTAAATGTATGCTCTTAAACGTATTCAACAGTCTACATTTACTACTTTATAATCGGTATGCCACTCTTAAAATGATGAAGAATTTCTTCATTTAAGAAAATCAGTGCACTGTAACTTATGGAAAAGCAAAACAAAAACGAAAATGGCAAGTTTTGGATGAAAGCTAAATAGTACTAATATTTTGACATGACGTACAATTATATAGAAATCATAAAATTCTTATATATATATATATATATATATATAGATGCAATAAACTGACGACGAACAGTACGAAACTAGTAACTAACTAGCCTAAGCGCTTTCGACTCCCAATGAGTCTTTTTCAAAGGCAAATACAAAACATAGTTACGACAAACAAATAAACACAAAAACGTTGCGTTTGTAAACCTCTACATTTCTATCTTCACATATACTTTGTGTTTATTTGTTTGTCGTAACTATGTTTTGTATTTGCCTTTGAAAAAGACTCATTGGGAGTCGAAAGCGCTTAGGCTAGTTAGTTACTAGTTTCGTACTGTTCGTCGTCAGTTTATTGCATCTATTTTAATTAATCCCTGACAGACGTGATCCCTTGGTGGATCCAGTACGCTTGAGAGGGTTGTTATTCGCCATATGATTTGTATTCTTTATATATATATATATATATATATATATATATATATATATATATATATATATATATATATATATATATATATATATATATATATATATATATATATATATATATATATATATATATATATGGCTTTTTTTCTTACAGACAATTGGGTCACTCGTTTCAACTCCACATAACACGAGACACACATTACAATTATCCAAGCCGAGAACTAGATGTTAAATATTACATAAAATGTATGAACAATTATATAACGACGTAATCAATGCACTGCGGTCATAGTATCTGTGAGGTATAATGGTGAGTTTATTAATTTATTTATCAAGAAACAAAAATAAAAAGAATCACAAGCAAACAACAAGTATATAGTCCAATTATTTACAAACTTCAGGTAAGCTTCTTAACTGAAAAATCGCAGTTCAAGTCATACAATTTATGTCGAGTTCAGGGTCATTCAGTCTTGATGTGCATGGGAGTTCCCTCCCTTGCAAGTGCTGAAAAAGACACTTTCTCAAGGTATCCACCATCTACAATATCAAAATCAATGACAATATGCCACCAAACTAGATCCAACACTCTCTGTGTTTCTCATAATAATTTGTGGTGTTCACACATTCTTTTCCATTCTTTCCTTACAGGAAATGTCTTATGTAACACACACACACACACACACACACACACACACACACACACACACACACACATAAATGATATACCGCGAAATGCATAAATAAATCCTAAATTAAATTTACTGTATATTGTTAACAGGCTATATCAGCTCTCCATCATTGCTTATATAAACACTGTAGATAAATCCAAAAGAAATTGTACACATTGCGTTACGACAAACCATATTCTTGTACGTTACTTGTGTATGGCTTTACCACTTTTGCTACGTAGCTCACGTCAGAGTTAATAGGGATAACTACTTGTTCGGTAGTTCAGAAAATCGGAATAAAGTTTGAAGCTTTTATCCACTTTAAATTGCAGAGTAGCTATAATATTAATTTGTTATTCGAATATATAGGAGAACATTTTGTAAAAATAGTTCTGTTTATAAATTTTGAAATATATGGATTCAACCATAATACAATTATGCAAAACTTGGCGTCGGTTCAAAAACTGTCGTTGTTTTTTCTGGGGAGTTTTTATATACAGATTTGTAGGATAAGGAAAATTATATTTGCTTAAATTACTCCTGTAATATATGCCCTTTTGATACGTAATTATACAGGCAAATAAACACAAAAGAAATGAATATCCGCTTAATGTAATGCAGTGCTTTCTGACAAGTTACATACTTGTTAAAATTAAATTCATTGTAAACAATTCTGTATCTGAATTGTTTTGGCCGCCATCATGAATTTTCTCTCGAATCCAATATGCACAGGTTTTAATAACGATTTTTTTTAGCTTTGCAAACTAACGATTCCTCTGGTATGGTCACTTGGTGTTAATCTGACAATTTGATTGGAAGAAATGTTTAGATGTATTAATCAACTTTATATGGGGAATACCATTTGGATACGGTTTTTTTTTCAGTATTCATGTGTGCTGACCAGTAAATCTCGGACCAAAAAGAGGTAATATTGTAGAATTTCAATTTCACTTTAGAGATTTTAGTCATTGTTCTTACAAACTATCATTTTATACAACGATATTGTAGGCTCCTATCAAAGAAAGCATTTTAGAGGTGTTTTATTTATTAATGATTTTAAGTGATCAATATTCCAGATCCTTTCCAGCAACATCAGAAATACCAGAGTAAACAATCGATCATTTCTTTGGCCATTTTCGATTTCTGTGTAGACCGTCATTTCAAGTCATGATAGAGCTATTACTTTTTTATCACGCAGAAAATTATTCAGAGAAACCTCAAATGGCTTTTGTTCACCAATTCAGGCAGATTTCCAACGGTCGATCACTTTTGGAATCTTAAACTGCAATAACGTTCGACATTAGAACATCATAAGCTTTATCTGACACATTTTTCAAAGGTTTCCAGACTTCAGTTGTCTATTATTTTAATCTCACTCGCATATACGTCATTAGTCTTTGCAAAATCCGAGTTCATAAGGTCGACCATTTTAGGGAATGCATGTCTTCCCCGTGCTCCAAAGCTTAAGGTAATGATGGAAATCACATACTAATGCAGATTGTTAATTGGCTTAAGGAACTATAATCGATCTTCGATGGATCGATAAGTGCCTCCAGCTCAAACTATGTCATAGTAGCAATGGACTGCTAATTTACAAACTCCGTGTAGCCTCCGCGGCCACGTTAATAGTACCAATTTTTTCTCTCCGTGGTGTGTGTGTGTAAGCAACGGTAACTGAGAGGACTAGATGGTTCACTTGTAAAACGAATTAGATGTTCAAACCGAAATAATATTTTCCTAATACATTTTGTTTATATATATATATATATATATATATATATATATATATATATATATATATATATATATATATATATATATATATATATATATATATATATATATATAAATCATTGTCCCATTGTCCTCAAGTACAACAAAAAGAAGACCTTTAATTGTCAAAGACCAATGTGACCGCATGAAAATAAGAAACCTTAGGAGACTAATAATTATCCATAGTAATAACTTACAGAAACCATCCTCAAAATGATAGTCTCTAGAAAAACGACATTACTTTGAACTATTGAAAAAAAAGCCCAAAAATGCTAGAAGTTGAATATTGCTCGTATTGTCTACAGTAAAAACCTTAATTTTTTTTAAAATTTGATCGACCATTCACAATCTTCAAAGTCACAAGTATAAAAGAATGATGAAGTTCCCAATCTCGAGTGTTTAAAAAAATGTCATAGAGCCGGAATTCTATTCTTACCTTAGATAATGTCAGATTTCAATAGATGACAATAACAAGTAACTTAGGTTACCGAATTATTTGTGCCTGAAAATCCTATTTAAAGGAGATTATAACAGTTTCTTTACCAATATTCCCCCCCCCAATGAAAAGCATAATTCTCAGGTTAAATCAGTTTAAGCTAATTA